TACGACAGGAGGAACGACAACACGTCCCTGAAGGCGAGCCTCAAGCAGGATTCGACGTCTTCGCAAGCAAAACCAATCCTCAAATTTAGTGTCAGCGCCATTTTGGGAGCCGACACAGTGAAATCGCCGCCTTGTACAGGTAACTGTGACCTTATTTGTGCTGGTACGTGGTTGTGCTGCAAAGGTAAGAGCACAAATGTCCCGGCTTCTAGTCTCGGGTCGTAGGCCGCAAATGATGACAAAGGTTTTCCGTTGTTTGCCTCGGTGTCTCCAGGTAGGCCTTAATGCTTAGACATCTGAAACCATCTTAAATTCGGCACTTCCTTCTTCAACACTTACCAATTCATCATCCTCAACTCTTTATCATCGGACGCTGAACTGACTAACTCCACAGAACACAGTACTTCTTGAAAACCTGAAAGAAGGATCTACGCTCAGCTAATAAAATTTCCCGCCTCTTGTGGAACCGGAAGGTTCATTACCGTGTTCACAAGAGCCAGCCACAAGGCCAAATCTTGAACTATCTTAGGCCTAATCCAATCCACATCCGCATTTTCCTTAAGATCTATTTTAATACTGTCCTCACGTCCACGTCTAGTTCTTCCAAGTGGTCTCAACCTCTCAGGCTTCCCAACCAACATTTTGTAAGCACTTCTCATCTCCATCATGTTACATGCTACACGATCCACCCATGCAGAAGCAAAACTGCAGTCAAATAAACTAAGAAAAAAACTATTGCTACACACTATATACCGCCATACTTATTTGGTCGAGCACTTAACACACTGGAATCCTCCCACGCAACTTCTGTCTTTGGTGGTATTACCCATTACAATATGAAAGCGTAAAAGTGCATACGTATGCTTAAGTAACTTATATAACCTTTTTCCAAATGTTAAGTAGCGTCAAATGGGGAGGGGACTACAGCCTTAATAGCTGTTCTTTCCTTATGGGTAAGATATTAGTACTTTGTCCTCTGTTCTGTTGACAAGGCGTGAACATACGTAGGCTTATGCTGTCTTCATGTGTTTAAATATGGGTAAATATCTATTAACTTCTAACAACCAAGTCCATGTAGGCCTACTTAATTGAAGGAAATACTTATTACAACCATCAGAGCGTATTTTTGTATCTACATAAATAGTTGATCGACAACGTAACAAAATTACGGACACTACTGGCTACCATCCACAGGAGGTTCTGTACACGCAGGAGAAGTCTGTAAACGTGCCGAGGACGTTTTGTTATCTCAGGAAACTGTAATAACATCAACCACGTCGCACAATTCATTCCAGAAATCTTATTTAAAAACTAAGTTAGTATTAATACTTCCGTCAAAATTAATCACAGATTAATTAGCCAATGACGTTCAGAAAATTATTCGCCGATTATTTTCACAATTAAGCGGAACGTCTAATTACGTTCTGCGTACAGAACGGTTAACGATCGAACACACTAGCACCTGAGCAGTTTTTTTTTTGCCGAGAGTGTACTGTGCCGTACCTTATTTCTGAAACTTTTGCGTCTGGCGGCACATTAAAGATTGTTCAGTATTTCACAGCTCACCAAATAAAAAGGCCCTACACTAGCGGCATATATAAATGAATTATAGCCCTAATTGTCAAGTTGTGTGTGTGCGCGCATAAATGAGTTCATAAACTTATTATTTTTCACACCTCGTTATGCGTTTCATTTATCTACATATGTTTGTTAGTAAAAGTTATCACATACGTAACAATTTACTAACTACAAATAGCCGAAATCAGTGGTTACAAATGTGTTTATCCTGAGGCTGCTGTGATATAAATAAACATGTACGAGATCCAGTAAAAACTGCTTAAACTGTGGTTTAACACTTAAAATTATTCGTTGTCAGGACTTTTTCCATCGTGACGTTTCTGAGGCTGGTTCTGTCTCCGTCTTCAGGTGAGAGGTACCTACTCTGTTGGGTCCCTTAGATAGAGCTAGTCTCAATCACGAATAATTTTAAGTGTAAACTACCGTCGTCAAAACCCTTTAGAATTGAATTGATGTTGAACAGTTTCTAAAATGCTAGTAAACCTTAATGATCACTATGAAGTGATTTTCATTTTATTAAATTGTACGTTTATTGCCTTTTTCTTTGCTATTTATGTGTGTTATAATTACGCCATTAGCCTCCTGACAAAACTTCACGGCCCCTTGGAAAACCGCGGCTCCCTGTTTGGGAAACTCTGATCTGTATGACAGCAAGAAAAAATTTAGATAAATGATAAATATTCTGAAAAAGTGTATCAAAGAGACTTATATTAAAAACAGCGCCTGGCACCAACTTACGAAGAAAACAATAACACAACGAAATGGCAGAAAACCTAAACTATGATCTCGCTGACACTAAAGCACTACGTGCACTGCTCAGTGCAACGTGTATAAACCCACTTAAATTCAGAACGTCGAGACATGCTTAAGACTGCCGTCGCAGCACACCAGCTGAGAAACAGAGCTAGTCGCTGGACCACTTTTGAGCTGACTGAGTTCAGAATCAAAACACGTCATGAGCAAAGTAATTAGTTAAGTATTCTAAATAACTCTAGTGAGTAGACTCCGTTCACAGGTTGTTGGCTAATCGGCTGTTCAAGATGCGACAGCCAACAGACCCAATCACCAGCCAATTAATCTATTCCATGCCCTCTTGGCGTACTAAATTGTATAGTATGCACTTTTTTATCTCCGACGCATGCTACACTTCCCGACAATTTCATTCTCCTCGATCTTGGCAAAGATTACAAATTAATTTCGTAATTTTCACCATGTTAATAGTATTCTTCTTTCTTAGGTCTATATATATCAGCACTTTGTTCCCAAATACCCCAGTACTGAAGACTGAGTCAGTATGTTCCTCTGAAACGTTATTGTTCACACGGCGTCATAACCCAGAAGACCACCATCGACAGCGCATGTTTGCTGACAGTGACACGCTGACAGAATTCGCAGGAAGAGACGGAAAGAAGCAATGCAAAATTATGCTAAAAATACTAAGCTGTGCGTAAGAATATGGGGTTCGTATCAGTGAATAGTTAGGCTTGAAATGCGAACTTCCAAGAAACGTGTAGAACGGAAGCTACTGCTACCGGATTAAAGCAGAGCGCCATTAAGATTTCTAATATAACACTCAAGTCATGAAGTGCCGTAGTTGGCTGCATATTTCATAGCATAATAAGCTCCTCTAGTCACGATATTTTTTTTCTCAATGAACGGTAGGCCTTCAGTTTATGACGGGGGCAAAACTTGGGGCGGTATTGCGGAGGGTGGATGGGCCTAAGTGGTTGTCCAGCTGACGCCACAGCCGAGGAAGGGTGGGATCTGATGGAGTAGGGGTGCAAGATGTGCTCCTCCGTCTCTCTCATAACAGCATCCCTCCTGCAGTAGCAGCAGACATATATATGATGTGGTTAAGGGGAGGTTCGTGGAATTGATTTAGCAAACTACACGGCAATTTGCACAACATTAGAGTAGCTGCTACAGGGTGCTGCAATAGTCGCATTTATGCGTGTTATTAATGGTTAACCAATTTCCTTGGTGGTTATTTCAGAAATGTCCATACGTGCAACAGCATTGCAACGTACAGCGGAATAATGTAGGCCGAACCAGGGAATGTAGAGATCACAAGCGACGCTCACAGCCAGTGCAAAACCTCGACTTGATACAGATGTCTCGTCTGAGGTAGTAGATTTGCTCTTATGTTATTAAATGTTATTAAGGAAATACAGAACTTTAGACGGCTATCTTCTGGGTTGAGCGCCGTGTAGTCTGGTGGAAGTCTTCCGACGTTACATACCTTTTCCAGGACGATCGCCATGGAAAAGCTTAAAAAGCTAATTTTAAATACAATGTACAATTCCTCTAACAAACTTATCCGCGAAGTGTCACATTAAAATTCCTCATTTTTTGTAGTATTCCTCAGTCATTATAGAAAACTGCCAGGTCAATTCCTAAAAGCAGTAGCCGAATTAGTTTCTGTTCTTCTATGTTTATTTTCCACACCCGGTTCAATATTACATGTGCGCCTTCTAAATACGGTTATGCCAGAAATGACTGTCGTCCTGCGAACAGAAGTCTTGGACCTCCCGAATACGAAGCAGTGGATGTGGCGTAAAGCACAGCAATAGGGTCTTTGCGTCCCATCTCAATCAGTTAGAGCCGTCACGATCCTGATGGAGAGGTGTGGCTGTAATTTGCATGTGGATGTGTTGACAGCCCTCACTCCCACGGCGCAGCGTGACACGGGCTGAGAACACATCGACTCCACAAAGAGATATAGAAAATTGCTTGCCGGAATACAAGCGATAGGAGACTCGTCTGTGCAGTCTTCGCTGTCGTAGGCCTATTTTGCTATAGCTAAAGTTACTAACTTTGAAGTTCATAAAACAAAAATAAAAATCTCTTATAACCTGTTCATAACAAACGGAGCTATCTGGTAGTAAAATCCGAAATGTAAACACGAAACTCGCCAACACTAGTCGCGGTCAGGGGGCAGTAACCTCCCGAACCACGACCTTTTCCCGCCTTGAAAATTTGATAGTTGCTCGTCTGGTCGATTTTATACATTTTTTACTTGTATGACATCTGATCGTTTATTACTGAGTTTCCGCTGGACTCTGCCTGAGCGATGTTGATTCAGTTCACATACTCTATTTTTTTAAACTCCATTTTATTAGTCTGTTATTCTCCCATTAGGACTACATGTCCCAGCGCTGTTTAGTCTGCGCTACGTTCAATAAACCACAAATAAACAAATAAACGTCTAAAATCTCGTATTCATCCCTGAGTAGCTATCACCCTGCAAATTCATTCTTTATATATTTAATCACCTCAACAATATTACGGGAAGTGTACAGATTATGAAGTTCCTAATTATGTAATTGTCTAAATGTTCGACTTGGTTTCGTAAGTCTAAACGTTGCCCTCAGCGCCACGTTCTAAAACAGCCTCAATTTGTGTTCAGTTAAATATAGGCCACATTACACACAAAATGTATACTAATGTACACATAATTTCTTAAAACATGAGACATGTTTATAACATTTATAAATGTACTGCAATTTGATATGGTACGTTTTAAAGGACAGTTTAG